AGAATTACAGCAACCAAGAGTTACCTCTGTACAGCAAAATGACTGACCTGTGATATACTACTTAGAAGAATGTTTTTTACTTAGAAGAACTATTTTTCAATACTCTGGAGATGTTCCTGTCAGCAGATTTTCCCATTGTAATTTGCCTTTCTATTTTTTGTCTGCTGGTACCAAGAGTTGCTTGATTGTGGAGTGAAATGAACTAAAGCCATTAATAATTTCAGTCTCTTCACCATCTATAATGATGCTGCCAATCAGACCAGTGGTATGAATCTTTTTTTCCTTTTCAGACAGTTTTTATTGAGGTTTTTGTTTGTTTGGTTGGTTGGTTTCTTAGTGTATCTTACTAGATTCTCTCCTTAAATTCCAACATTGATAGCACTCTTTCTTTTCTTTTTCCTCTTTTTTTTTGTTTTTGTTTTGTACCAACTAATCCAATCCAACTGGGACAGGAGGAGATTGCCCCTCCTTCTCCAGCAGAGCATCTGGTGGTTTTGAACTGCGCACCTCGGGATTCGGGATTGTAGTGCAGCTTCTTGCTACTAGGCCACCAGAGCTCCCTAATCTTTGGTTTTTTGATGATGAACTTCAATCCATATTGAGGCTGCAGTCCTTGACCTTCTGCAGCAAGTGCTTCAGGTCCTCCTCAGTTTCAGCAAGCAAGGTTGTGTCATCTGCATAATGCATGTTGTTGATGAGTCTTCTTCCATCCCTGATACCACACTCCTCCTGAGAGAGCCCAACCTCCTGATGATCTCTTCCACATACAGCTTAAAATGGCATAGAGATAGGACACACTCCTGGTGTACACCTCTCCAAATTTTAAATCATGCAGTGTTGCCCTGCTCTGTTCTGACGAATGCCTCCTGGTCCAAGTATAGGTTTTGCATAAGCACAATCAAGTGTTCAAAGATTCCCATTCTTCTCAGAGTCAGCCACAGTTTGGTGTGATCCACACAGTCAAATGTCTTTGCATAATTAATGAAATGCAGATAAACATTCCTCTGGTACTCTCTGCTTTCAGCCAATATCCATCTAACATTAGCTATAATGTTTCTAGTGCAACCTTTTCTAAACCCAGCCTGCACATCTGGCAGGTCTCTGTGGATGTGTCGTTGCAGTTGGTTTTGGATAATTTTCAGAAAAATCTTGCTTGCATGTAATATTAATGATATTGTTTGATCATTTCTGTACTCTATTGGGCTACCTTTCTTTGTAATGCGAACAAACATGGATCTCTTCCAGTCAGTTGGCCAACTGGTTGTCCTCCAGATTTCTTGGCACAACTTTGTGAGCAGCATCTGTTTTATGAAATGTGTCAATTGGAATGCTGTCAATTCAGAGTCAAAAGGAATGTTTCAGCTCTGACCTGAAATACAATGTGATGAGTGATAGGATATTTATTATTCATAGACATAGGGAAAAACTCCTGTTAATACAACCATTATTCAAATATACTCATCAATTTAAAAAACCAAAGATGAGGAAAACTAGGTTTTCTATCAACTTGGGCAATCTGCAATTGATTGAACATGCAATCAAAATGTATGAATAATAATTGGTGACTAGAATGCAAAAAAAAAAAAAAGGAAACAAAGAAGGGCTGGTAGTTGGAAAATATGGCCTTGGTTACAGATATGAAACAGTGAAGCTGAGCATTGAATGATAGAATTTTCTATAATTCATTATTCATTGAAGATACTTTGTTTAAAAACCATAAACTGTGGATTCCAAGATGGCGGAGGCAGGAGAAACAACGTTGTGAGGTGCTGTAGCAGCGGACCACATGAAGGCCACCATGGCCTTCTACAGACCTCTGTTTATTGATAATTGAACAGTTAAACAATTGATGACTGGTCCTTGGTGCCAATCAAGGCTCAACATCTGGAGATCAAGGATTCCCAGGGAGGAATGGGTGAGTCCTGCGACCCCCAGCCCCCTGCTGCCAACCTGCCCCACCACCACAGCTCCATGAGGATGCCACCACTGGACCCCAGGGATCCCCTCACCCATAATGGACGGTAGGCACCGGGACCCCCTCCCGAGGCTAGTGCAGCAGAGCCAACACACCCCAGCAGACTGGTTCTGGGGAGAATTCTTGGAGCCAAGACGGTGGTGGCTGATTGGGGCTTCCCTGGGCAGGCCAGAGAGGAAGATTACCTGTACAACGGATTGATGAGAGTCTCTGTGAGCTGTTTACGACTTGACAACATTTAACTGTGACAGCATGTCCGAGACAGCAGATATCCTCAATGCACCGCATCTTTTGATCTGCTGTCTGCCTTTGCGAAGAAGTGTTTAGACCTGGGGGGGGGGCAGGGTGGTCTGTTCACCACTCTCAGATCCCCTTCTCCACTTATAAAGGGGGAGGGCAATGAAACTTACTTCAAATTATACTATGACCACTTATGGGGGGGGGTAATGGTGGCAGTACCAGAATTGGGGACACTGTCCCTGGCCACATGGTCTTCAGTGAGGTGCGGGGTCCAGACTTGGGAAGGGACTTTGGTGGGGGAGTGTGCCAGCCAGCGGGGGGGCGGGGTCTTCCAGCCCACGGGGGTTGCCACCTGGCCCATAGGGGTTGCCATCCGGCCCTCTGGGCAGTTTGTTCGGCCCCTGGTGGTGGGGCGAGCCATACATTTGGCCCCTGGCGACAGGGCAAGCCAGCCCTTGGGGTGAGCTCCTCAGCCCTCGGATTGTACCATCCGAACCCTGGATAGAAAAAACTGCCTAGGGTATACAGAGAATTTATCCAGGCTACTTTCCTCCACCCTCTCCCCCAGTACACCAGTAAGTAACACCTCCAAAGCCCTTCTATTTGTAACTCACAACTTTCTTCTCTCTAGATTTGCTCCCTTTTCTATAAATAACCTTAACACTGAGTTTTACTCCAGACCTGATCCTGAACCCTGTTCCAGAGACAAAAAGGAAATACAACGGCCAGTTAAGGAAGCAAAGGAGGATGGAGCCTCACGGTTCAGTCAGCCATCCCCACTGGACCCACCTGGGAAAACACTTTGCAGTCCAGAGGGGAGTAAATGTCAGGAAAACATCTTCTAACAGAACAAGAAGGCAAGCAGCTTTAACCCAAGACCATCAGTAAAGTGACAAAGTGTGCTCCCTTTCCCCCTTCACATCAATGCCCCTGTTCAGCATGAAGAAGCCAGAGAGTATGCACCCAATTCCCAAATGAGAAACCAACAAGTGAAAAAGACCGTTTGTTTAATCACCATTGGACCATGCTTACCATTGCCCTGAATCATCTGGTCCCCACTGGATCCTTTTCATTTCCTTCACCTGCTCCTCCCACCAATCAAATTGTGCAGTCTTGCAACTGCATCCCTCTAATTTTCATCCTTGCCCATCCTCACCCTTCTGCTCCCAACCCTCACCTCTGTGTATCCCTAATATCTTTTTCCCAATAAAATTTTAAAAAAAAAAACAACAACACATAAACTGCAATTTTACATATGGACTTCACCTAATGGAGTACACATGAATAAGATTTACTATCTCTGTGTAAAGAGACAGTGCAGAACCTCAATATCAGCAGTCAAAACAAGGCCAGTCAATAAGAGAGAGGCAAATAAAAACCACAATGAGGTACCATTTCACTCCAGTAAGAGTGGCAAAATTTAATAGGACAGCAAGTAATAGATGTTGGAGAGGATGTGGCATGAAAGGAACTCTTATACATTGTTGGTGAGATTGTAAAATGGTGCAACCATTCCGGAAGGCAGTTTGGTACTTCCTCAAAAAGCTGAACATAGAAATTCCATATGACCCAGCTATTCCACTACTTGGAATATACCCTGAGAATATGAAAAGTGAGGCAAGAACTCAGATTTGTACACCAGTGTTCAGAGCAGCATTATTCACCATCAAAAGAACATGAAAACAGCCCAAATGTCTAAAGACAAATGAAAGGATTGAGAAATTATGGTACATTCACACAATAGAATACTATGCAGCATGCAGGAGCAATAACTTTGTAAATTATTACCTAACTTGGGAGGGACTATATAGCATTATGCTGAGTGAAGTAATTCAGTCCCATAAGGATAAATATTGTATAAAAACGTTATTGTAGAATGAGTATAAGGATCCAGGAGGGGTGGGAGAGGCTGGAAGCAGAGGGATGTGGATTAGCAGGGGGAATGAGGATGGGGGAGAGGGGTGAGGGAAATTGAAAGAGTTTGTTCAATTTTTTTTTATTTCAAACGTTAATATATTTTCTATTTTATATTGAACATATGCATCTGTAACCCCTCATTTGCAGCAACTATCACATCCTCATAAAAGGGGCAAAACTTGTAAGATGCCTTTTAAAATACTCTTTTTTATAAAATAATAAAACTTCAAATAAATATTCTTTACACTAAACAATATGTTGAAAAAATTAGAAAATAAAGGTTGAATTTTACTGTAACTGTACGATTTACATGAAGTCCAAAGGGAAATCAGTCACAATAAAGGCTTTCTGTAAGGCAAAATACAATCTAAAAACATACTGGTTGATTCACATTCTTCTGAATGTACAACATATTAGTATAATATTTTGTGACTGTGCCATGTAATAGAGCACGAATTGTTTTTCACAGTTGCAAATATTATTGTATATACAAAAATATAGCACATTCTCTCTGGAGAAAACAATGGAAAAAAAGTCATTTGCTACTTTATAAATTTTGCAAGGGCTATTCACAAAAAACTCTGCTTTAGGAGTGTCTTGTGTTGCTGTAGCTTATGCAATATGTGGGTCACCACGTTCTTCTGCCTCATAGTTTGAGCTCTAGTAGCTGAGTTCTAACAAGCATATCAGTTAAAATGGCACATGGGGGGAGGGGGAACCAAGCACCAACCCCAAAACAAAAACACTGCAAAACAGTAGAGTATCCCAAACCCTCTACTAACAGTGCCAAAATTCTGTTTAGTCAGTTGCATATGCGTGTTAAAATACAAAACAAGCTTTATTACTGTAGTATTCCCAATTAATGATGCTATGTTGGTTTTTCAAAGTTCCTGGGTGGGACGGTGGGAACTTTGCAGCAAACTGTGTTTGAGTTTTTACAACGACATCCAGGCCTATTAACACGGTCATAACACCCCTGGCACAATTTAAGGCAACTCTTGGCTGGAAGGTAACACCATAAGCAAGGCAGAAAGAGGAACATGACGCCCATGGCTGACCACTGTGTACAACAGTGAGACTGGCTGCAGGAGCATGGGTTCTCGGCACAGTTGTCCTCGTCATCATTAGAACAGTGATAGAAGAGGCCTTTCACACAGCACACACAAGTCCTATAGTCAATGACGTTCTGGGCCGAGCAAAGGCACTGCTTGTCACAGATCCAGTCCGAAGGCAGAGGCCTCGGATAGGTGCATTCTTTACACTTGCACTTGCCAGAGTCCTCACATCGGTAGGCATGCAAGCCCAGATCGTCCTTGCTCAGGGGCTTAAGCTCGCCTGGCTTGAGCTTAGATTTTGGCTGCACCCAGATTATTCCATCAGCAATGGGTCCCGAGGAAAAAGACGATCCTAGCAGTCTCTGTTCAGAGGAGTTGCTGCTGGTACTTGTCCTCGTACTGCTCCTCGACCCTGAGCTGACTGTGCTGATGGACCTGGTCAGGGGGGCTCTGGCGGAGGAGTGGACCTGTGGGTGTTGTAGTTCATTCAAATTTGTATTTGAATTTTGTAAATAAATTAGTAGGGGGAAAAAACCAAAAACCAAGGCCAGTGGCTGACTGTGGAACAGAACATCAACTACTCATATGCAAGTTCAAATTGAAGTGGAAGAAAATTAAAATAAGTCCACAAGAACAAAAAAAAATCTTTAGTGAACAGCAACTGAATTTAAAAACCATCTTTGTAAGGATGATAATCCTTCCTTGCTCTGGAGAAGAGGGCACCATAGCTGGGAAAGCATTCCCTTTAGCCATGAGGGACCACAAAGAACATCCTTGGGAGGGCTATTGTGCACCCCTACCTTGGAGAGGGGAACATCACTATCAGGTGAGCATTCCCCCCAGCCACACAAGACCACAACAGTCATCTTTGACAAGTTGTCCTTTCTTTTCCTGCATAGAAGAGAGTCACAGCTAAGTGATCAGTTACATGGACCACTAGGAACTCTTTCAGATAGGGAAAGTTCCCCCCACAGACACACTCCCTAGACTACTGAGACTTGGGGGATGCATTATTGGGACTGTTTCACTTTCCTGGACCTTTTCTACAAGCAATATATCCCAGGCAGCAATCTGGAGACATTGCCTAGCCATGGGGAAAATCTCCATCCCATCAAACTATAAGACAAGATAGAGAAACTGGGCAAAGGAAAAAAACCCAGTCCCCTGCTTCTCAAAGGACACTGGATAAGAAGTTTACCATAGGAAAAAAGGAACAGATCTGCTTATCAACAGATCCAGCAGGAAAGACTGCCACTAGAAAATTCAATTGGAGGCAACACTTTAAGACTGCAATTTATCACATTTATCATAAAGATAAGGAGATATCAACAATCTATACAGATTGGTTTGACTGCTGATTTTGAGGTTCTACATTGTCTCTTTACACAGATATAATAAATCTTATTCATTCTGCACAAGGATGACACACAAATTCGTGAAGCGTTCCATATTTTCGACCCTAAAATTAACCAGTCTCTAACGAAGGCTAACTTCTAACTCCTTTCAACTACAAATTTCGTCTTTGGATACAATGCTAAGTGGATAGTCCTTTTGGAGGGACTGTTTAAAAAAAAATCTTATTCATGTGTACAACAGAAACTGCCTCACTAATACCAAGAAGAACTTCACATAATGTCAAGAAAACAATAGGCAGCTTCAAACATTATAAAAAAACCAAAACAATCTGTCTCCTGAAAGAGTAGATCAGACTGTGGCTCTCTACACACACCTTCTCCATTTGGTTTGGGCTTTCTCCCTATATAGTAGCTGAGTTCCAAGAATAAAAGTTCCAAGAGTCAGTTCCTAGAGTGAGGACTTTCCAGAAGTGCCTGATGGGGAAAAAGACGAAAGTACTTCTTATGTCTCAAACAGAGATTTGTACAAGCTCATAGTGGCATTATTCACAATAACAAGAAAATGGAAACACCCAAAATGTCCATCAACAAGTGAATGGATTGAGAAATTTAAGTACATTCACATGATGGAATACTATGCAGCACTCAGGAACAATTGTTTTGAAAAATACTATATAACATGGAGGAGATGGAAAGCATTAGGCTGAGCGAACTCGGTCTCTTAAGGACAAATACTGCATAAGATCATTATTGTAAAAAATAGAAGGATTTCTAGAAAGAGATATACAAAAGTCCAAAGGGGAAAAAGAATAGAGGAGGGAAATGGGAATCTTAAGTACACAGAGTTATGTGGTCAGAGTGAGTGATTGAAGAAATTAGGAAAGAACCAGTGGGGACCTGGAAAGGTAGTGATGGGCATGGATCAATGGTGATTAATTTCATAAAACACAGTGTCTGGGAATGATACTATGAAACACAATATGAATAGAGAAATGTGTGAAGTACAATATGTATAAACAAAACAAAAGGTATGCAAGTTTGGTATGCAAACCTGTATAAAATAATTATTAAAAAGAAAAAACCTTATATCTGAGACTATGAAGTCCCAAAGAGTTCACTTCTGCTGTGTTCTATTAATTAAAAGCAACTTACTAAGTCTAAAGGAGCTCTTGTGGCTTAGCAATAAGGAATTGTGCTGTCAACCGAAAATTACACAGTTCGATTCCACAAGCTGCTCCATGAGAGAAATATGGTCAATCTCCTCTCTTACTATTTATTGCCTCTTAAAAGCCACAGCAGGATCAGCTATGCATAGGTACTGACTCAGTGGTACTGAACAATACTTAATCTAACTTAGATCAGAAGAAGGAAGATTAATTCCACCTCTTGTTGAAAGACTAACCAGTCACACTATAGAAGATGATGTTTGTGGGAGAAATCACAGCAGTCTTTTTTGGGAGAGCTTTATCAAATACATCCTGGAAGGTAAGAGCTGTAAAGATTCAAGAACTGAATACTGGTTACTCCACTACAGCATCCTAACTGCTGTGCCACCTTGCGTTAGGCTGAGAAGCTGTCATTTAACTGAACAAGGAAGTTCTAGAACTTCTGTGATAGCACTAGCCCTGGTACAGTGTGTACCGTTTTCCAAAATCAAAAAACACGCACCAGAAGAGGAGGATGTTGATAAGTCTATGCAGAAGTTCTTTGCCTTCCAAAGACCCCTGTATGTCTTACACTGGACACATGCACTTGACTTCAGGTATTGACCAGCTTAATGGTAAGTTCACTAGAGAAGATGTAAGATGTTCTCTTTTTCAGCTTGTTGGGGAGGAAGGGAAGGCCTCTCACCAGGACAGATCACCTAGCTCCAGATAAGTGCAAGCTTCCCAACGGCCTTTAATACAGAATAGAGAAAGCTCTCCTGTGTTTGGCTGTACCAGCTTGAGAAAGTTTGCCACCTGGGAAGATGGCTGCCACATCTGTTGAGCTGGGAGTAGTCCACACAAGGCTGAGGTTCTCCTAGCCAATGTGCATGTCCCATGTCTGCAAGCTCACCCTATCCTGTCTTCCTGTTTACTTGCTCTTATATAAGTGCACTGCAGCCCTCAATAAAATTGAGCTGGATCAACTCTCTGAATGGCTCCGGAGTGGTGTGTCCCCATCATGCTTACCCCCATCAGGGTGAATAACAATATCAACTGTATCCTGAAGGTCCTGTCCTGCACTCAGAAAACCGTACACTAACAGTTCAGTGCGTCCATAACAGAGTAGGAACACTACCAAGTGAAGGCTTCTTTAGGGAGCTGAGGCTTTGTCCCATTCAGACTACTGTGGACAGGTAACCATAAAATTTGGCAAAATTCAGAAGAAAGAGGAAAGGAATGTAGGTAATGAGAACTAATCTACAAAATATAAGATTTGAACCCTCATCAGACTCTGTCTAGCCCCAGGTAAGAATAGACATCCACCTTAAGACTTGATCTTAATCAAAACCAGCTTTGACCCCACAAAGTTCTTAGGAAGCAGCAAATTGATTGTGAGAGGGCCCCTCCATGAGTGCCGTTCATGAGCTCCTCATTGCAGACCCTCAGCCTTAGCTAGTGGGGTTAGTAGAATGATTTTGCTCAGCAGTAAACAAAAGACATCCTACATGTCCTGGACTTTTCTTCATGGGCACTGTAGGGCCATGTTTCATTCTTTCCAAGAAGAAGCATTTTCCTTTAAACACTTTTTAATTCCAGTCAAAATTCTTCTGATTGTCATTAAAATTACATGAGTGGCTTCATGTAATTTTAATGCTCTCTGCCAACAAATTCTGAAGGAGAAATCACCCCAGGGATTCCCATTGATCATTCTAAGTAGATACAACAAAGCATTTCAAAGCATTTTAACCAGAAAGAAAATGAGATGAATATTTCATTTATGATAGGTCATTTGGTTAGAATTTTTTGTAACTCTTATACAAAAACTCGAACAACTAAATTCAACCCTATATAAAAGAATTAACCTACCAGATATCAATCTTGTAGATTTATCAAACACTCTTACCTAAGGTTCCTTGTTAACTGCTGTATGGGAATTGAATGAAGGTCAATCGCCTTCTAAGTATTTCCACCTAAGGTAGTCTGGTCAAGGACTTAGCTGAGATAGATACTTGGCAGTACTCCACTTATTCCTAGATCTCTCATTGTCACTGTCCTAACACTGCCACAATTCAACCTTGTGAAACAAATGTCTGTGCCTAGGTCTCAAGAATCTCTCACAAGATTCCAGAGGACCTCTGTTGATCCAGAACACTGAGTTTAATTAAAAGTCTAAGTCCAGGTAAATTCAGGCCAAACTGTTAAAGTGTATTAATAACTTTATTTGATGTGACTCCAACTAAGTTCTTTTCCTACCAAAGCTTTGTCCTTATTGTTAGATACCATTAGATAGATTCTAATTGATAATGGTCCTGTGTACAGCAGAATAAAATGTGATCTGGTCCTGCGTCATCATCAGCTGTGGTTCCTTTAACAATCTGCTTCAACAAGGATGTCTCTCACCTTCACCCTAACTTTATTTCACCAAGCACATTGTCCTCCTTTATTGATAGATCCCTGCTGTTGATTGTGTGCATAGCAAGAAAATTGGGCAATTTCTATTATTGTTGTTGTTGTTGTTGTTATGTGCCGTTGAGTTGTTTGCGACTCATAGCAACCCTAGGTACAACAGCCCTACACCCTGCTGTACCCTGTGCCAATCTCATTGCCTCTGACACACCCATCCCGATTACCCCAATCACTGAATCAATCCACCTCATAGAAGGTCTTTCCCTCCTGCGCTGGTCCTCCAGCCTACCAAGCATGATGTCCCTCTCCAAGGACCTGTCTCTCCTTACAACATGTCCAAAGTATGTCAGACGAAGCCCCAGAATCCTTGTCTCCAAGGAGTAGCCCAGTTTAACCCTCTCCAGGATGAATCTGTTTGTTTTCTTGGCAGTCCAAGGTACATTCAATACTCTTC